TTTGTAAGTTGAGTATTTGGAACTTGGGGACTGCCTGTATATGTATGTATTTACATAATGTAAATAATTAGATATCTTGGAGATGGAACTTAAGTCTAAACATGAAATTAATATATGTTTCACATATACCTTATGCACATAAGATGAAGGTCATTTTTTATACAATATTTTAAATGCTTATGTACATTGAACCATTAGAAGTCAAATATGTCAGACTAGTCTGGATTTTGGAATATTTTGTATAACAAATTATGAACTTGTATAGGCTTTACTCTAGCTGAATTATGCACATGAATCCATCCAATATCCACTCTCAGTACCCTTGGGAAAATAAGGCGGAATATAAATAAATTATTATTATTATTATTATTATTATTATTCATGCATAATTCTACACAACTAAATGTTCTAAATCTTTAATAAATGTATTTAGTATAGCACTTTTAATTAACAGCATAACATAGCTATTGTTCAGAATCCTCTACTGGTTTCAGTAGCTCATATTTCACTTTCTGAAAAGCAAAAAAACCCTCAAAGGAACAAAAGCTTTCCGATGTATCAGGATTTTTTAAAGGATAAGAATGAGTAGTAAAGTCCTTGAAGATTCCTTTGTATTAGTCCCTTTTCTTGGCCTCCATTTATTTTGTTGAGTGCAACACTAGTCTCTATGTAACTATCATGTTGAACATGTTCCAGACACACATTCTTAATAACACGCAATACAGGCAGCAACTGAATAATTAAGAGACCTGAAATGACCCCCAGTATAAATAGCAGAGCAAAACCAACATTCACTTCCCTCAATGGGACATAGTCTCTTGCATTCTCTTGTTAAGTTCATTTCCTTTGAGTAAAGTCAATTATCAATAAACCATGAAGAATGATATATTCATATATTTATTTTAATAACACAATTGCAAAAAGACATAATGAATATAAATGTTAGATTTCCCACTGGAAATGAAATGGTTGTTCCAGAGTTATTAGTTCAGTGTGAGCCTCGTGTAACATTTATTGGTTTAGGAAGATGGGGGTGGACAGCATATCATTACGCTTTACTACTGGAATGTCATAAAGAAATGAAAGTTCTTACAATATGAACCTCTAGCAAAACATGTCTCTGTAAATAATGTATGAATTGGTGCAGTGTATCGTTTCCAGTTGAGCAGTCAAGGGAGAAAGGGTAAGCACTCACTTTATTCAAAATGGAGTTCTTAGGATTGACAGATTTCCATGTGCAAAAGAAAGAAATCAATTAACTGCATGATTTATTACACTATTACACCTTTAGATACATTTGAGTGTAACAATTACAAAGGTTGAACAAAGACATATTTAATATAGTCCAACATTCAGTACTTTTATTAGTTTCACCTTCCCCCCCCCCTACAAACACACACACACACACCAGCACCACAACCACACACACACAATGTTAGGGTTGCCAGGGAATTGTTGTGCCTCTCTCCAAGCAAGGAGAGAAATCTTGGGGCAAATGGAATCAGATGCAGAGATAGTTTGGATTTCGTGTATGAAGCATCTTCCAAGCTTTTAAACTTAGGCATCCATTCCAAAGTGATAGGTGTGTGTGTGTTGCACCTGAGCAACTTTGATGCAATAGAACACATGGAATGATGTCAAGATATTTGTTATGCTATTTAGACCAAGGCAAGGGAATGGGGCACAAATGCTGTAATTCAGGAGCCCTCCTGTTGTACAAGACCTGGCTGCATCAGCCACAGTGAGCCTTCCATAATCTGCAGCAGCAGAAGCCCAGAGAAACTCTTCATGTGCCACTAGAAATGTAGGGAAACAAAGGAATTGCAGCTATGATTGTGGCTGTTGGATGCATATATATTGCTTTGTGTGTTTTTTTCTCTGACCTTGGGTTGCCATGCTACCTGGTTGACTAGATTTTATCCAGACTTAGGATCCATTTACTCAGCTTGCCTTTAAACCCCTTTTAAGACCCTACTGATATTCTCACTCCACCCCACCATGCTAAAAGCAGAGATGTGGAGCAACTCTCAGTTTTTAATGTTATATATGAAAGGGATTTTGGGATCCTTAGTTCAACTGAGCTTAGGTAAATTCATGGACGGAGGGTCATCAATGGCTACCAGAATCAGTATACATCATATACTGGCTGTTGAGGAGAATGCTGTTGCACTTATGTCCTGCTGGCAGATTTCCCATTGCCAACTAATTGTTACTGCTGTTATTGTTATTATTATTTGGCTGCTGTTATAACAGAATATTCACCAATATGGTCAGATGAAACATGGCTCTTTTTATGTTCTCATAAATGCAGGTTCACTTTGAGATATAGATACACATATACTTATCTATGTGTATGTGTATGCGTATGAGTGTGTAAGGGAGTTTTAAATGTATTTATTTATTTATTTACTACATTTATATACTGCTTTTCTCACCCCTGAGGGGACTCAAAGCAGTATACATCAAGTAATTTATTTATTTATTTCAAAGTTTTATATACCGAGCTTCTCACCTCATAAGAGGGACTCAATGCCATTTAATATCCAAATTGCAGTATGGATATTAAAACTAAAGCATAATAACTAAAACGATTACATAATTATAATTTAAAACCATTTAAATCATATTAAACATAGAATATAAACAAACATTTAGATAATTAAAACATAGAATTAAAAGTATCTTAATATTAACATTGAAATCACATAATCAATTGTGGGAAGGATGTGCTCCAACCTGGACACACACAAAAATAAGTGATTTTATCAACTGGAGACATATGGGAATATCAGCAGACATTCAGATTAACACAATGATAGCGGATAAACTAAAAAAAACCTTTCAGATATTTGTGTGTGCATTTATTTCCTGATCTATTGTCATTTTTCTTTTTGTAACTCACTCCAAGTTTCACCCAGGATTTGTGGAGTGAATCTACATCAGTGCTTCTTAAACCTTTTCCACTTGTGACCCCCTCATGCATGAAAAATTTTTATGTCACCCTGGGTATAAAGCTATGTAAAACAGATTCAAAATCAGATATTTACTAGTGATCAGTCAGCATTTGCAAGGCCTGTAAACAGAACGATTTACCCCTTTTATGAAATACAGCTGAAACATTTTATATCCATTGTAAACATGGTATGTTGTTGTTAACAGATTTGTGTGTGTCTAAAGATCTCTTTACCCGTTTTGCCTCTTTATTCATAGCTTGGGTAGGACCTGCCAAGTGCCTTCAGGTGATGCATGGCAGGCTCCACCCACATTCCTCCCAAAGGTGCTTCCTCCTTGACCACAGGGAGGAAAGACTATTTTGGGTAGCTCTGATGGCGCTATCCACACTTTCTTCTCCTTTTCCCTCTATGATGAAGGAAAGGGCGGCAGGGGCAGCACACATTGCTGCCTTTTCTTTGAGTCCCCCCAGGGGTGAGAAAGGCGGTATATAAATACTGTAAATGAATAAATAAATAAATAAATAAATGAAATTTCTCCCATCTGATGGGGACAGGGACTCGGTGCCAACACGCCCTGTCCCATCCCCACGATGTGATGGAGGAAGGAGGGCACACGGGGTACCACGAGGCCCTGTGAAGACGTCCAAAAACAGCCACTATGCTGTTTTACTTTAACCAAATTTTTCATGACCCCAGCATTGAACTAAGGTGACACCATTTGTGGTCCGGGACCACAGTTTAAGAAGCAGTGATTTAGTCCAGCAGCCAATCCCATAGTTATCTTTCCTACCATATACTACTTCATCACACTAGAGAAGGAATCCAATAGTCACTCAACTCTCTTGCTTATCGTCAACTTGGGACTTCATCCCACGGGATAAGTGAAGCATTTGGGATCATTGCTTTTCCCTTAAGCTTCATACAGCAATTTGGATATTAAATGGATGATTTTACTACCCCCATCATGCCTTTAGGATTTATCCTTTTGATTTGCCACCACACAGTAGAGATTTGTTTCCTCCCATTGTCCCCCCAAGATTTTGATTATTAATCTTTAAAAAAAAATCACCCTGGATTGTAGGAAGTGGGTTTTAGTTAACCCTGATCTTTCTCCAAGCAATTGCATTGGTGATTGTAGTAAGTCGTTTTAAATTAACCCTGATCTTTTCCCAAGCCTCTGCATTGGCGGTCATAGGAAGTGGATTAAAATTGGAAAAATAGGCATTTTGGCTCCTCCCACACACGGCGTCATTGTTTTATTTATAAGCAGGCAAAAAGGATTAACATCACATGTGGAATTTGGCCATTTCCCCCGCCTCTATGTGGGGAATTTAAAAATAAGTCAATTGACAATTGGCTTAAGAATTGTTGAGGAAACCAACACTTTAGAAACGGCAAAATACATCATCCCCACAGTTGAAGCTTGTGCCATGTGAAGGGCACAGTGTGTTGCTGTTTCTTAAACGTGTGGAAACGCTGATTTTACTGCATGCGGTGAAGTCAATGGTGTGCTGAACATATCAAAGAACCACACCCTAAATAATAAATTCCAGGTTTTGACTACATCTGATCTGGAAGCACACCATAGAACTACACTGGAGGATCTAGAGAGGGCTACAAATACTTCCAGGGGAAATATTTTTAAGCATGGATAAGTGAAACCATAACTATCAAAGATGTTGATAAAAGGGTCATAGCATATTAATGAACCACTAAAACAGTGCATAGAGGGATAGGCAGGATTATCATTTCCATCCCATAGCAACAGAACTGACTGGTAACCAAGGACGGAACAACAGCTGCCATAGAATAGTTCAAAACCAGGCAGTTATTTGTATTGTAGCACTCCGTATAAAAAACTGTAGTTCCCTGTGTGATAAATTCCACATCTGTATTCCTCTATTGTGGAATCATGAGAAAATGATTACAAGGGTTATTGATGTCTTTCAAAGTTTCTCTATTTTTTGTGAAACTTCACATTTTAAAAAGTTACTCTCTTGATTGTCTTTTCTTGCACAGTAGAGTTCCTGGAAATGCTTTGATAAGATGGCTGAACCAAGGCAGCGCACTTTGTCTACATCAGGAGTAGCACTCTATGAACTTCTGGGTCTCGAGAAGGGTGCATCCCATGACGAAATCAAGAAGTGTTACAGGTATTTGTGTAACTTCTAGTCTAATATATTTGCTAGACACATCACTGCCACATTTTGTTAGTCACACGTGCCATTGTTTTAAAAAAACATCAAGAATTTTATATAGATATCTTTTTAAAGACATCTCTTTAGCTAGCAATTTCCAAAGTTTCCAAATTCTTGCATCCGGTGGTCCTTCAGATGTTTCTGAAGGACTCATAATTTCTTAGGATTCATTTTAACTCCATTTTAACTCGCACGGCAACACCCCATGGAATCATTGAGTTTAAAATTTATCAAAGTGTATTTGGATTCTTAACAAGAGCTCTAATGTGCAGCAGCAACTACAAACCCCAGGCTCTAGACAAAGCTGTGAAATTAGAAAGAGAAATCACATTGCTATAACTGCAGAATGTTAAAGCTGTCTTGAGTCTTTATATCAAGAGAAAGGTAAGTAAAAATTAAGTAAATAAATAAATGAAATAATAAAAGGGACCCTGCTTAAGGCTAATGGCAGTTGCCTACCTCAGTCCATTGTTTTGTGAATTGATAAGAAAAGAAAATGATTGTGAGACTGCTATATGAGGCCCCTTCTACACTGTCATACAATTCAGATTGTCAGTGCAGATAATCCACATTATCTGCTTTGTACTGGATTATCTGAGTCTACACTGCCATATGGAGCCCCTGGTTGTGCAGTACATTAAACCGCTGAGCTGCTGAACTTTCTGACCAAAAGGTCATCGGTTCGAATCTGGGGAGTGGGGTGAACTTCCACTGTTGGCCCCAGCTTCTGCCAGCCTAACAGTTTGAAAACATGCTAATGTGAGTAGATCAATAAGTATCACTTTGGCAGAAAGGTAACAGCGCACCATGCAGTCATGCCAGCTACATGGCCTTGGAGGCATCTATGGACAATGCTGGCTCTTTGGCTTAGAAATGGATCCCCCAGGAGTCGAACATGACTAGACTTAATTTCAAGGGGAAACCTTTACCTTTACCTTTTACATTGTCATATAATCCAGTTCAAAGCAGATAATCTGGATTTTATCTGGCAGTAGAAAAGGGGACTGAGACTTCCCCACCACATCACGCTTTACATTACACTTGCTATATTTTTAAAGCAAATAAATGTTTTAAAATTTGATTAGCAGCCCTAGGATACACAAACTCTTGCTTCTATTATGAAGAACAAAGATTAATTTAACACTTTATAAAGCATTTGAAGGCATCTTTGAAATTTAAAGAGAGAAAGAAACTTACAAAGCAAGGCCCTCTAAAAAGTGGAATAACCTGGGTTTTATATGGCGAGGTAGAAGGGGCCTGAGGTTATTGCAAATCTGTTGGAGAATTCTTTCAAAACAACTCCAATTATGCTTATCTAGTCTAAACTACAGTAGATGTTTTTAAAAGGGGGGGGGGGGAATACAAAGCCTATATAAAATAATTCTAAAATAATTGGAAAGTCCCAAAACAGAAAGTGGTATAATGAACAAAGCCTGGAGTATGAATGAGAGTGAGGAACAAAGCTGCAGATAAGACAGGAGGGGAGCAAAATTGGGAACCGAGTTAGTAACATTGGAAATAATAATGCTAACATTTTTGAAACAGCCCAACCGTGCTAAGAACATCATTCCCAATCCTCCAACATAATTCATTTCTGTTCCTATTTCCTAGTAAGGTGATTAACAAGAAGCAAACAGGGTGTATAGATGTGTCTGTGCATGCAGCACATGTGTATGGTATTACATCTGTTCAATGTAATAAGACTGTATTGTCGAAGGTTTTCACAGCCAGAATCACTAGAGTTGTGTGGTTCTACGGCCGTATTCTAGCAGCATTTTCTCCTGAATCTGTGATTTAATGACATTTTAATGCCCATGACATTATCCTCCCAGCCCTGCCTTTCTGAATTTTGCACTTTCCCTTAGCTCTATCTAGAAATTTGCACAAACCCAGAGCCCTCTGAACTCAGCACTTTTATCGTTCTGTATGGTACTGTTTTTATGATGTTATGTTTTATTGTGGTATGTTTTTATTTGGTTTTGTTTGGATGCTATCTTATTGTATTCTGTTTTTAACTTTGTGCTCTCTGGGTTTGTCCCTTTGTAAACCACTCTGAGTCCCTTAGGGGAGAGGTAGGTGGGGTATTAAAATAAAATAAAAACTTAGTTATCCCAGCTACAGGTGTAGGTGAAACATCAGGAGAAAATGCTGCTAGAGCACAGCCATACAGCCTGGAAATCACACAACATTCCATAGTAAGATTTGTACCAATTTACACCGATTTTATACTGTAAAGCACACCATAATGTTCTCTTATGGCAAATTTCCTGTTAAAATAATAGTTGAAATCAATGCATTCCTTATGTATCTTCTTGTTGTTTTTCACACTAAGTGAGAAGAGGGCACATACTGAAGTTTCTCTAATCCCGGAAGAGGAGAATTATTGTGACAGAATGGAAACTGAACTGAAATTTATTTTGTGTTGTACATGAATAGTGATGAGTTATATAGCAGTCTATTGTAAAACTGACAGTGGCGTTTTATCCATCTTTATTAGCAATTACAAGCTAAAAACAAAGGCTGCTTCTGAATAAAGTGGAACTATCAGAGGGATTTACACTTAATAGAATAGCTGTAAATACTTGCAAGACAAAATGATGAGTCAGACTCTTAGATTCCATTTAATTGATCTTTTCACTTGCACTAATTTTCTTCATGAATCTAAAAATCTGTGACTGAACCTACCAGTTGGCAATGCCTTATAATAATCCTTTAATACCTGGCTTCAAATTTCCTATTGCTATTAGTTAGTGTGATACTTACCATGAACACCAGAACCTGTGTTATTTAAATGACATAAACACAGCATGCTACAAAAGTTTTGTTTTCTAATTAAATGTCAATTTATTAGTGAGAGCTTAGAAAAGTTACTTATTAGTTTGGAGTCCAAAAAAGTAACTTTGCAAGCTCTGGTTGGTGTTATTTCCAATTAACAGTTTTGTTACATTAAATCAATAATGCACATTAATGTACTCTACATAAGTACATGGAGCCATGAATTTGTATTTATTTATATACCTCGTTGACATTATTTAGGAATTGGTAAGGAGGAATGTTTTTTGAATTGTCAAATATTATGCTGATATCTTTGCAATGATAAAACCCATATGATAGTTTATGTGCCGGATATAGGGATACTGTGATTTTGCCTGCTAAAGTGAGCAACACAGAATGATAAGTAAGATTTCTAGAGATTTCTAGTTTACTGTGAATGAACTGTGTGCGGTTATGCCACCAATTCTCCCTCACTTGGCTCTTCCTTTTGCTAATATGAGCCATTAAACTTGTTGCTCTCAGATAAGCTAGGATTTGTAAACTGAGAGCCTTATTTTTGAGGTGACTGGTAAAATTGGTGACAAACCAGAATGCCCAGAATGCCCAGTATGCCCAGTATAGGACATTGTAAGCTAAAGTTGAGAAATAAACTGCCATTCTTATGTTTTTGGACTGCAATTCCCACCATAACTATCCAGCATAGACAATGGTGAAGGTTTGGAAAACTGCCATCCAACAGTATCTGACAGACATATATTCTATATTTGATGTCAGTTCTAGTTAGTTTAGTGGTTCACAATAACAGGAGTCTGGAAAATTCAGTTCAAAAATCAAGGAAAAAAACCTAGATTGATTTACCCATGGGTCAATGTAAGTACTATACCTTAACTCATATTAATAGAAGAATCATGCCCTTCTTTGAGGGAAATTCCATACAGCCCTATATGCCAGAATATCAAGGCAGAAAATCCCACATTATCTGAGTGTGGACTCAGATAACCCAGTTCAAAGCAGGTGTTGTGGAATTTTCTGCCTTAATATTCTGTGGAGGGGCCCTGAATAGAGTGGTAAAAGTGAGAACGTAGTCCAGTTTTGGAAAACCTAAAAGGAACACTGATACACTCTACTTTCTCCATTGTGGCACCTGTTTGGCATTTTTTGAATGCCTGAGTGAGGAAATAATGGTGGCAGACCTCCTAAGGTGACATTGGTACTTTCCTCTCCACACGAAATGACCCTCATCTTATTCAAGGGTCTTACAAAAATCCTAAATTTTGGATCCAAACCCTGCCTGAAACTTACATGAGGTGTAAGTGGCTTCAGTCTAAGGGCCCTTCCAGATAGGATCTGGTCCCAGGTTTTTCCTCTTTAAACTGGATTATATGCCTTCGCACTGCCAGTTAATCTGGAATAAACAGAAAACCTGGGATCAGAACCTAGGATATTGGGGCCCTTCCACAGAGCATATAACCCACAATATCAAGACAGAATAACCCACAATATTTGCTTTGAACAGGAATATCTGAGTCCACATTGCCATATATCCCCGTTCAAAGCAGATAATGTGGGATTTTATTCAGCTATGTGAAAGGGCCCTGGAAGAGCCATAAGGTGCTTCCAAAATTTTATGTTTGGAATTGCAGATTGAAGGCAGTAAAATCAAAGCATATACATGCACCTGTCATGTAGAAAACATAGAAAGTTGCTCTTTAAGGAGACTAACCATCTGACAGCTTTCCAGGGATCCAGATAGTTTTCTTTTCTAACCCTTGCCAGAGATTTCCTCAAATTCTTTGGATACTAACCAAGTCTAACCCTACTGAAATCAGATAAGATCAGCTGTATTCTTTATGGTATGGAATCACAAGAGGGAACCATTCTAAAGAAAGTATAGCATACATATTGAAAAGAATAGCGGGTTGCAATTCTAAGAGCTCTTGGCCTCTTGAACATCATCCTTGCCATCCTTGGAAAGTTCAGAAGGACTGTCAATGTCTCAGTGTTAACAGACTCTGTCAAGTTTAAAGACAATATATTATAAAACATTATACATGTATGCAACAATAGCACACATGTACAATGTATGTTATTGCTAAAAGATTATATTCCCACCTAATCTGAACTCTATGCTGAGAAAAACTAAATTGTGTAGCCACTAGCCTATACTTTTATGCAAACTGAGCCATAACAGTATATTTTGCCTTTATTTTGCATAACATAGCTTGTGATTATGCAAAATTCTGTAGTCATGGGAGAGTGAAGGATATGGAAGATTTGCCCCTTCACCCATCCTTGAAAATTGCTTTTTCAGCCACTTCTGTTGTTTCTGGGAATTCTGGAAACATTATCTGTTTCATTTGAAGGCTAGAAAAGTTATTCTTAAAAAAAACAGAATTAAATTAAAGCAATTGTTTTTGATGAGCCTTATTGTCCTGCATATAAGAGACACAGTTCCTCAGCCCCTCCACCGTCCACAACCCCTCTCAAAGCAAAATACGGCAAATGCACAATATGTGCAATTTGCCATTTAGATATTATTTTCCTGTCTCTTTTTTCCCTTTCCCTTTTTGATCCCTCCCTTTTTGTGGCAGAACTGTACATTGCATATCATCTGTAACATGGGTATACATTTTTATTAAAACCTATTTGTTTGTAAAAGTGAAGAAAACCTTTTGTTCTGTTGATAATGTTTCTTTCATCAAAGCTAGTGCCTCTCGCTAATTTTAAGGATCCTGTTATTCTAATAGTCTTGCCAGATACTGTTTGTGGTGTAACTTAATAGATTATGCATTTGTGATAAGCCTTTTCTATCTCCTGCACTTTGGGAAGAAATGTTTGTAAGGACACAGAGAACAGGAAGGACATGAAATCCCTTAATTCCTCGTCATTCATTATCATCTTCTGCTGCTCCTTCTCCTCATCTTTCTTTTAATATAGCCCAGTCCAGTACAAATAGGTTTGTGTCATAGCAATATTTAGCTAACACATGAATTTATTGCTCAGTTGAGCAGAGTAAATTATTCCATGTGTTTCAGTAAGTATTGCTAATCTGGAAGGCTACACCTTGGGACAAGAGACAAAGTTTTGAGCTCACTTTGTCAAAGCACCAGTATGGCCAGTAGAGGGCACTATGCAATTAACTTTTGACAGTCAAGTGTTGAGGTGGCAGAGCCTTCTAAACTATTTTAAATACCAACCATATAACAAATGTTATCACTTAAGCCTTTGTTTTTTTAAAAAAAATGCAGTCTTTTGTTTTCATTATGGGATCAAATAATCTAAATGTATGCACCATATACATACAGGTTGCATGATGATATTTCTCCATTTGGTTAGAGATACCCAAAGAAGCATGTGTCTGTCTGTTTCATCCATGCATTCCAAGAATACAGCCATACAAGTACTTTGCTTTTTTTTCCCAATGAGTTTTTTGGCCTCTTCCTTATATTGCAGTTTCTTCTCAAGTTTGTGTTAGTGATTCTCTGTAACCCCTTTAACTCAAAACTGTTCATACATTTAGAATATTAACATTTTAAGTAGGGGGAAATAAGCCACCAAATTAATGAGGATGGCCTGAAAATGTGTTGAAATGCCTAGACAGTGGTTCTCAACTTGTAGGTCCCCAGATGTTTTGGCCTTCAACTCCCACATTTCCTAACAAATGGTAAACTGGCTGGGATTTCTGGGAGTTGTAGGCCCCAAGGTGGTTCTTGATGGGGCCAAATTCACATCTCAAATTATGACAGTGGGGGATACAGCTTTCCATGGTTCCACAAGGGGGCAGTGTGACCCCAAACTGCACCAATTGTCCATCCATGATTGAGAGTAATAGTCATTCCAGAGGCTCATGGCCTCTAACAATGAAGTGGAGGAGAAACCATCAGTGTCTAAAACTTCCCCTCTGCTCCACTGGGTCTTGGTCCTATATTGGTCCTATATTTGTAGATTGTTTATATCTATATCCTCTGCCAAATACAAATACAGTATTGCCTTTTAAAATGAACATATACTGCTATCATCTTTGGAACATGACCAGAAATCAAAATCAAGGGTAGACTTTGTAATTACAGACAAATAGTTTTTCTTTTTAAAGAACCAAGTAGTGAAAATCCCTTGAAGTTCTCACCTAAAATTGTCTTGCATGATACTTGTATTGGCGTGGAGAATTTTGCAATAAATGAAACAGTGAGGAATTTGAATATTATTAGGTGCAAACCTAAAATACCAAAAAGCTCTGTTCATTAAGTCTGAATATGGAAACTTAACGAAACAGATTTTCATAAGCATAGATTTCAAACATAAGTTATTTATTGATACAGAATCTAAACCATCTTTTTGTTTTTCTGTGTGTGTTTTCCTCCATGGGTCTAAAGTTAAGTTATACAGTGTGTACATACTGTAAGCTCTGTTGTTATCTAAACACATGTTCTTTATTATTATTATTTTGTTGCCTGTTTAAGAAAGTTGGCTCTGAAATATCATCCTGACAAGAACCCTGATAACCCAGAAGCTTCTGAGAAATTTAAAGAAATCAACAATGCTCATGCAATATTAACGGATGTTACCAAAAGAAACATATATGACCAGTATGGATCTCTAGGACTGTACATCGCAGAACAATTTGGTGAAGAAAATGTCAATACGTACTTTATGCTCTCTAGCTGGTGGGCAAAGGTAAGTAAATTAAAAGTGATGTATCTTCTTTTAGTTTTTGTCTGAGAGAGGCAGAACCATTGGTTGGCAATCTCATTCAGTCTTGCTATTGCAGTTTTCACAGGACCTGCACAGAATCTCTGGAGAGTTCTAGGTAAGTCAATGTTGAACAAGTTTCGGTATCTTGAAGAGCTTTGCTGAAATCGCCGGCTTATCTCAACTGCTTCAACAAATACAGCATAATAATGATGATGATGCACACTTTTGGGGAAGTGCTTATTAAAGGATGTTTTCTTGTCCCTTTCATTTACTAATTAAATATGTTGCATGCCACTTTCATCGCCTCAAGCCATTAATTAAATCTGAAGCTGGAGCTCCAGGTTAATTCTGACTTTCTTTTCAGTAATGACTAAATGAAAATGACTCATTGCTCAAAGTGAAAAGTCCTCTTGGTGTGACAACCAGCTAATCAGTTATTGCAGTACAAACTTAGCCGTATTCTGGGCTAAATATGGCATAGCGTATGCGTAAGCAATAGTAGTGCATAACACTGTGTACCTTTATACACACCTTGGGCACCTTGCAAAGGAGTTGGGAAGAGCAGGTGCAAAATGGGAGGATGTTGACGGAGGAGCAGAATGGTACAGATTGAACTAGGAGATTGGGTCTTCCGGTTCTGATGACATCAGATGTCTTACTCATTTGTTTTGTTATGTAATCATCAGAATTTGGCATTTATCGGTGCAGATATCACAAATGTTAACATTTCAATTGGTGTGACCAAATGTATTAGGCCTTAGGCTTCAAGAATGTGCTAGATCTCACACTGAATGTGCTATTCTCACTGCTATTTCTAGTTACTAACTCTTTGGGCCAAAAGAGATTGTTAGTTTAAATAGAACACAAACACACAAGGCTTGCCATTTTTAGACAAGAGTGATATTTTAAGTTGAACATTTGTAGCAATGTATTTATATTTCTCTTCCATGAGTTATTCTCACAAGTTGGCTTTGCTCCATGAATCTCATGGTATTGGCTGGAACTTCCTCTTTTTTTTTCCTCCTGCAGAATATATGTATCTCTTTTGAAAATATTTAACATGTATATCATTCCCCAAACACAGAGATTAAAGTTATGGGAAAGCTGTATCTATTGAATCCTGGCTCCTATTTAACTATTAAAAAGTTTTAACCCTTTGGGAAAGAGACAGTTCTGAATATAATTATTTACAAAACTGTCATTGGAGACAATTTTCTTTCAGTTGCCAATAAAAGCTTCAGTATCGTTATTTTCTCCAAAGTTGTATCTTAGCATCAAGCCCCCTGGTGATGCAGCACAGTAAACCACCGAGCTGCTGAACTTGCTGACCAAAAGGTTGGCAGTTCAAATCCAGGGAGCGGGGTGAGTTCCTGCTATTAGCCCCAGCTTCTGCCAACCTAGTAGTTTGAAAACATGCAAATGTGAGTAGATCAGTAGGTACCACTTCTGCAAGAAGGTAACGGCACTCCATGCAGACATGCTGGCCACATGAACTTGGAGGCGTCTAAGGACAATGCCGGCTCTTCAGCTTAGAAATGGAAATAAGCACCACCCTCCAGAGTCAATATGACTAGTCTTAATATCAAGGGGAAACCTTTACTTTATCCTAGCCTCAAATGGTTGCTTATTCCCCAGAGAAGCAGTAGTTTTCCTCCTCCTACAGCCAAGTGTAATGGAGGTGGTTTTAAAGTGTATGGGTGCTCAAGATTGGCAGGGCAGTTGGCAGGAAAGACTGTATCTTGTAAAACTAGTGATTACATAGAATTGAGGCATAGCAGTTAAAGTGGTGTCTAACTGTATTAATTTGACACTGTAGATGCACCCTGAGTTATTTCTGAGAGGATGGAGTAGTTAAGCTTGCCTAAACACCCAAGAGGTGTGTGAGGTATGTGAGAAAGCAGACATTAATTAGCTCTACCTAATTGGTGGAATTTTATACTACATTTACCTCCCCTGAGCCTATTATCATTAAAGGTATGGGAGTCTCATCCCATATTCAGCTGGCAGTTTTGTATGTGACTATGTAACCTGTTCCTTAATTGCTTTTCAGATGTTATTCGTTGAACTTTTAAAAAATTAAATGATTCGCAATTCACATTTTTCTGTTACTCTTGTGATTTGCATTTTAACCTTTTCCAACTACTCTGGGAGCTTTGTTTGACCAAAGAGCTGTACAGACCAAAAGGTCACTAGAATATAACAAGTTGCTCAGCTAGTCACCAATTTGGAGACCTGTCTAGAACTGTGGGCACCCAGTCTCTTTCTTGTGACCTTGAATATATCTCCCTGCCTCTTTTCTCCTCCCTCCAAGGGCCTGTTTGTTCTTTGTGGCCTTTTGACTGGCTGCTACTTTTGCTGCTGCCTGTGCTGCTGCTTCAACTGCTGCTGTGGGAAATGCAAGCCTAAACCATCTGAAGAAGACCAAGAATACTGCCTGTCTCCTGAAGATCTGGAAGAACAAATTAAGAGTGACATGGAAAGAGGTGTTTATTATTATGGAGTAGTAGATGTACTATTCAAGAAAAAAAAAACTATTGTTTTCTTAAATGCATACCCTGGGGGTTCAACTCCAGCTGTTCAGCTTTGGTGTTGTTAATTTGAGAAAGGATGCTAAATTGAAAGAAGTGATAATTGTAATCCCTTCTACCTGCTGCACAGGTTCCTTTAAGGCTCAGGAGGTGGCTACTTGTTAATGTCACTGTTAATCTGTGTGCCTTCACCCTTGCCCCAATTTCAGACTTGGAAATTTACTTTTACGACAAATGGGTATAATGACACACCAAAGCCATCTCTAACCCAGCAAGCTCAGAATAGCACCCCAAAACAATCTCAGTTATAGACATTTTCAGCACATTGCTCTGTTCATTCATTTTAAAAGTAATTATCCAAATGCTGGCATGGTGATGAATTAATTTCTACTGGTTGCTTATCTTTGTGAGTTTGGTAGATTCACTATAGTTCAGAAGGGGTGGGGAGTTACACTGCCATTACAATTCTGAATGGGAGAGTTAAAAACCACTGTAGACTTACTTCAACACTCATATTTGCTTTGTTTCTAAATATTATTTTTATTCATGAATTTGCTGCCCTCTAGCAATGTACAGTGTCATTATCCCTTATGACATTCTTGTTAATTTCATAATTGATTGTACTGGGTCTATGATGGCATAGAAATTAATAGTGGGGAGGAAAGAAGGAATAACTTAGCTGTTCTGGGTAGTTAAAGGAGTAAAACCAGGACTGGCCAAAATGGCAGAACAATGGTTACTATTTCCATGAGAGAGGGAGCTATACAGTCAAGTCTGAAAATAGCAGTACTTAATCCTCTAACAAAAAGCCATCTCCAGACATCATTATAGGAAGCTAATATCCAATGCTACATTTTACATATTTAGCTTTGTAGAGAGCCCCTGGTGGCACAATGGGTTAAACCACCAAGCTGCTGAGCATGTTGACCAAAAGGTCACAGATTCGAATCCAGGGAGCGGCATGAGCTTCCGCTGTCATCCCCAAATTCTGCCAACCTAGCAGTTCGAAAACATGCAAATGTGAGTATATCAGTAGGTACCTCTCTGGCGGGAAGGTAATGGCACTCCATGTAGTCATGCCAGCCACAGCTCTAGTTTTTGAGATACAGAACATATGCCATTTATCAATCACCATTTGCTCGTCCATAGAAAATCATCAAAAACATATCTCAAAAACTAGAGCTGATGCAGTTTATCGAATGCAATTTTCTGAATCAGTGCCCTGAATAACCCCAGGAAGGATCCTAAAAACCAAGAGACCAAGAAAAAATTGTTTGGCTCTGTTATCTGCCCTGTTCTGGAGACAGAAATTACTTTATTTGCCCTGGAAAATTGTGCCAGGAACTGGAAATGGAGAGTCTGCTGAACCCTGTTCTTGGTGGCTTTTAGTACCATCTCCCATGCTGCCTTTCTAGATCAGTGGCTCCAGGCCCAAATCTCCAGATACCACTCTATGCAAACTCTCTAAAGCCCCAGTCAGTGTAACCAATGGCCAGGAAGTTGAGAAGTTATGGGAACTACTGTTTTATATCAAGGTTTCTTTTTCGATTCACAATTTCTTTCAGCCTGAGAAATGTTTTGTGACCTCAGGTATATAGATATATAAAATAGGTATGGAAATCAAACATCTACTGATAACAAGCAAGTATTTGCATGGCTTAATCAAGCTGATTTTCCTTTTTATGAAGTACAACTGAACTATCTTCTGCAGAGCGCACTGTAAACACTGCACAACAGATTTGTGTAAATGTCTAAAACAGCCACTAGGTGATGTTTAAATTTTTTTAATGTTGCCATATTTTTGGGACTTGAAAATTGAGCTAAGGGGACCTCATTTGGGGTCAGGACTCAGAAGAGCAGTGTTCTAGATCATCTCTCTGTCGTGGCATTTGGAGGTCTATATTATTGCTACTGTGATACTTACGCTTCATCAGACGGGAAAAATTGCCCTTCATAGGATGCCTTTGCCATGTAGCCCATCCTATGACATAGATCTACTTCCAGTGGAGCTCCATGGTAAAAGTGAAGTGGGAGTGTCATACTTCACCACCGCAACATCATGGAAGGCTTCTCATGTTACAATGGCAACAACGGGGAGGAAGCCGGGTGGTGGATGTTTCCCCCATGGAGTGGGGTAAGGGGGAAGCTGGGTGATGTGGATTATGGGGTGACGGGTTCCCCATGCCCTTCACCAGATCTCTCTAGATTTGCCACAATCTGTGGCAAATACAGTTGCTAATGTGACGAGGTCCCTACTGAAGGATAGATTACAATAATTGAATACCTGCTTGGCCTACTGTCTGTGCAACCACTATGGCCCACCCCAAATCCCTAGCAGCAACATATGATTTTGATGAAAATAGAGCATATGTACTGAACAAATAAAGGAATCTCTATGTGGAGACTTTTAAACACAGTACATGTTTATATCAACATACCTATCATCTTAACTGAATACAAGAATTTAAGCATCTGCTTACTTCCCCCACAATGGGGTTGTAATATTATTACCTTTGACAACATTGTGCCCCTAAATAATAATAGTTGTACACAGGACAATTAGGTGATCCTAGCCAAAGGTTCATTTTTAATAAGGATAACGTCTTGGATTAGTTAACAAATCAAATACATGTCTAAATCCTGCTCTTTCCCTTGTTTTAGATGGGGAAACTCCCATTATGCTACAGCCAACAAATGCAACAGAGAAGACCCAGCTTATTGGAGACAGTCGCCGCAGCTATCGCACAGAATCATAAACCTGTTATCACTGGAGCCTAACAGAATGTCAGCAAAGGAGTTTGGGATTGTAAAGTATGATTAGAACATTTTCACACATGACACTAAAGAGGAATTCTGTATTGTCTAAATGCATGGGATGACGTCCCATTGACCTCAACTGACAATGGACCTACTTCTGAGAAGGCATGCAAGAGTATCTTTGAGGATCCTCCGTGTCTTTTTCCCCTGCATGTAGGCTGTTGCTGAATATCAGGTGGGGAAAGAGCCTTTTTAAAACTGAAAATGCTTTCTACCCAACCTTGGTTTGAGATTCATACTAGAGATATCAAATATGTAAATAGCTTTTCTGGTGTCATCTGTGAAAATGTCTTCAGTTTTCTCTATAATTGCTTTTCATTTACAGTTTAGGCAGTGATTATTTTGGTGTAGTTTTCGCCTTTAATTCTAGGAACTTTAGAGATACGCAGACTCTCTGGCTTCATTTTCCATCACAGTATTGCAACCATGCAAAGTTTAGTGTGTATTTTCTTCCCTAACCTATATTTTTGCAGCTACAACAGCTTCCATTTCTGATTAAAACTGACTCCAGTGAGATCCAGATTTGCAATTTCCAAGGAACCACGATTATCATGTCCTATATTAGTAAGTGCTAGAGATGTGAACAGACAAGCTGAAGTGTGCCATTTAATAATACGGGCCTGGATTATCCATGTTTTTTTTTTTTTGTATCTGTAGCAGATCCCTGGTCAAACCCACACATTCATAGACGGTCCACTGTATTCTTAGCTTTGAACATATATGTAAATCAAGACACAGGCATGACAAAATATTTTGCACATGGAAAATAGTTACAAGATTCTTTCAGCTCCTTTTAAGAAGGGCTAAACAGTAACTCAACAATAAATCAGCTTTTAGGTCTGTTGGGATCAGGTCCAAAGCAGCAGGTGATATTTCCCAACATATGCAAGAAATGTAAATGAAAAATGGTTGTGTCTATCTTTACCAACTGCTTCTGTAGCTTGGTTCATTCCATTTATGGTATGATGTAAACAATTGGTATTTTTGCTGCAATGGGTGAAATTAGTGCTGTACAGCCGAATAATAAGCCATTTGAGGCACTTGATGAGTACATGGCAAATGGAAATTTGCACTTGCACACCTGCATACATCTGCACTCACAACAGTCATTGTGTTTAGTCATTTTTGTGGTTATTACTTAAATGTTTACTTAGAAGTTGAATTATGTATACACATAATATATCAATCTCAATTTATTTTATATATGTCAGTGGCCCTATCACTATGGCTTTGCTAAGTCAGGGACCAAAAGGATAATGAAAGGCCCAATGCTCATTGAATAAGTTGGAAATGAAATCATTCAAAAGAGTAGCAAGCGATATAATAGGAAAATATCCACTATATCACATTGAAAATAAATCTACTAATAAGGATTGAAGAAGCCAGTTTTAATAAAAGTGAAGTGCTCATCTCTGTGTTTTCAAGAACAAGATATATTTTAAGTATCCTAAACTCAATGTTTAAATTGGAAGCCATTTGGCAGCATAGCACTTTCCATTTTTCATGTAGTTTGTAAGTGGCTGCATATTGTATGTACAGGTAAACAGTAACCAATGAATCTTTCATAACTGGAAATTTAACATATGCTCATTTCTTGGGAAAGTTACTTTTTCATTTGCAGCTTCCAAAAGATCCCCAGCCAGAATAACCATGCTAGCTAAATAAAACTCCAGAAGCTGTACTCCATTAAGTTAATTTTTCCCAATGATATCTGATTCTCTATATTACAGTTGTAAGTGTTTAGCACTTTACCTTTGCATTTATTGCTGTACCAATTTCAAAATGTACCATGTATACTGAATTTAACTTTTTGCTGTCTAACATATTACTTGAATAATAAAGATTCTCTATATTGTAAGAAATCGTTATTTTCCCCCTATTTTTGAAGTGTGTGTATTACTTCTTTGCTGTTCAGAGAATTGTCAGTTCTCTTTAAGTTTCTACATTCTGTCTGGAATTTGGGGGTCCCATGCTTTTTTTGGCCTTCTATCTCACAAATCTTTCTTTTAAATTATCTATTAATTGCTTTTTCTTAATTTTTTCTTCCAGTCAGAGGCCCTTAGGGATTAATTCTTCTTTTAACTCTTCATATATTTCCTTTAATCTGATTTTTCCTTTTAGCTTGCAATATCACATTTATGATATCCAGCTCTTACTTTTCTTTCCTTCTCCCCTGTTTACCATTACCTATATTTCTACTTGTCTTAGATCTATGGCTTTCTGAACATGAAACAACAACTCACTATGTACTTATTTCTCCTAAATTTTCATCTTCAAACATCACCTTTTGGTCTTTAACACCATTAATAAATTTGGGAATTAACTTTAATCCTTCTTTCTTTTTCTATTAATAACTCTATTTCCATGTTTATTTTTATTTATTGTGTCAGAAGCAAATTAAGAATACAGCTATACTGTATAAAAAAAAACTACAATGTTAAAAACTTGGCATTATGCTAAATGTCCTGTGACCAGAAGCTGGCCACTTGGAGTGCCTCTGGTGTCACTGTGAGAAGGTCCTTCACTGTAAATGTGGCATTGTAGTAAGTGGCCTGTGGTTTACTCTTTTCTGCACTTGCATGTCGTGGACTCCACTTTGTAGTCCAATTTCTTAAGATTTGCTTTGCATCTCATGGTGCCAGAGCACAGTCTGTTCAGTGCCTTCCAAGTTGTCCAGTCTTCTGTGTGCCCAGGAGGAAGTTTCTGATCTGGTATCAGTCACTGATTGAAGTTCTGGGTTTTAGCCTGCCACTTTTGGACTCCCGTTTGCTGAGGTGTTCCTGCGAGTGTCTGTGTGGATCTTAGAAAGCTGTTTCTTGATTTGAGTTGTTGGCACGCTAGCTGATATCTGAACAGACGATGGGCTGGAGATGTCACTGCCTTGGTCCTTTCACTGCTGGCTGCTACTTTCCGGTGGATATCAGGTGGTGCAATACCGGCTATGCACTATAAGTTCTTCAGCAATGTTGGGTGTAGATCCTGTAATAATGTGGCATGTCTCATTAAGTGCCACATCCACTATTTCAATGTGGTGAGATTTATTCCATACTGGGCATGCATACTCATCAGCAGAGTGGCAAAGCGGTTGTGATCCCCAGGTTGACTGCCATGTCATCTTGTCTTCAACGGCCAGGTTTGAATATTTAAAACATTTGCTTAAAGTTCCAACCATTCTTAATGTATTCCTCTTTTCCTTCTTGGCCCTTCTATTAATCAGGCATACATCTTATTATTATATTATTTTAGTGTTAGCCGCTTTTAGACTCTATTGGGAGAGAAGGATTCATCTTTGATAGAGTTTGGAGTCCCCATGGTTCCATAGCACTGAGTTTCGGCAGTTAAAGTAGTATCAAAGTGTGTTATTTCTACAGTGTAGATGCACCCTGTAATTAGACTGAAGATGTTGCATCTGGGTTTTCTTTGTCCATTATTTTGTGTGTGTGTGTGTGTGTGTGTTTTCATTTTCTTATTTAGATTGTGAGCTTATTCTGCCTTGGTCAGACCATACCTGGAATGCTATGTCCAATTTTGAGCACCACAATTGAAGAGAGATGTTGACAAGCTGGAATGTGTCCAGAGGAGGGCGACTAAAATGATCAAGGTTCTGAGAACAAGACCTATGAGGAGCAGCTTAAAGAGCTGGGGGTGTTTAGCCTGCAGAAGAAAAGGCTGAGAGGACACATGATGACCATGTATAAATATGTGAGGGGAAGTCATAGGGAGGAAGGAGCAACTTGTTTTCTTCTGCCCTGGAGACCAGAATGCAAAACAATGGCTTCAAAATATAGGAAAGGAGATTCCACCTGAACATGAGGAAGAACTTCCTAACTGTGAGAACTGTTCAGCAGTGGAACTCTCTGCCCCAGAGTGTGGTGGAGGCTCCTTCTTCGGAGGCTTTTAAGCAGAGGCTGGATGGCCATCTGTTGATGGTGCTTTGAATGCGATTTTCCTGCTTCTTGGCAGAATGGGGTTGGACTGGATGGCCCACAAGATATTGAGTATTTGTGCCAAGTTTGGTCCAGACTCATTGTTTGAGTCCACAGTGCTTTCTGGATGTAGGTAAACTACAACTCCAAAACTCAAGGTCAATACCCACCAAACCCTTCTGGTATTTTCTGTTGGTCATGGGAGTCCTGTGTGCCAAGTTTGGTTCAATTTCATCATTGGAGGAGTTCGGAATGCTCTTTGATTGTAGGTAAACTATAAATCCCAGCAACTACAACTTCCAAATGACAAAATCAATCCCCTCCCAACCCCACCAGTATTCAAATTTGGGCATATTGGGTATTTGTGCCAAATTTGGTCTAGTAAATGAAAATACATCCTGCATACCAGATATTTAAATTACGATTCATAACAGTAGAAAAATTACAATTATGAAGTAGCAACGAAAATAATTTTATGTTTGGGGGTCACCACAACATGAGGAACTGTATTCAGGGGTCGTGGAATCAGGAAGCTTGAGAACCACTGAGTTAGACTAAACCAACTAGTGTAAACTAAGCTAGCAATCTAAATTACAAGCTCATAGTCGAGAAACTTGGTTTCTAAACTTTGTGTAATCATAGATATCAAAACAGAGCATCAGAGATCTTTCAATCATAGGGGAGCAATGAATCGAGCCGACTTGACAGCAACAAATGAAAAATAATACTGTATATTCATAGCTTTAGCCGACGTGGAGGAGAGATCTTGCATTAATTAGGGAAAATGGACAAAAAACTGTCTCCTTCGAGCCGGAATCGAACCAGCGACCTAAGGATTCCCGGTCTGTGTTTGTCCTACAGTCCTCCGCTCTACCAGCTGAGCTATCGAAGGGACTTGCCGAGCGGCTTCCTTCAGCAACAGAAACAAGATCTGTTGCCATTGCTTGAGAGGTGAAATTCCCCCCTAAACCAGGAGGTGGCGCTGGAGATCACATTGCATGCAAGAATGGGTGCTTCTGCTCTC